GTGTTTGGAGGGGGGCTTAACCAGCATGCAGCCAAAAGGGAAGGAGAGGGTATGTGAGTGGGTGAGGTGATTAACCCCAGCCTACCCTTCACATGCACAGTTTATTTCCAGCCCCTGTTGAAAACAACATGTTGTGATGAAGACCTCCATGTCTGCCATGTTTCAAACATGAAAGGGTTCCTAGACTTGAGGTGCTCTTCCTCCTGTGCCACTCTCAAGGCCTTCTGCTGGTCCTCTGTCTTCATTTGCAGGACGATTGGCTCTTTAACCTGTCTTATGAATACCCCAGGGTTGCTGCAGACCTACTGTACAGGCAGGTGGGGGTCCTTTTCGATGCTGTGCTGCACAAGTGACACCAGCTCTATGGACTCGTTCATGTAGCCTAACAATCTACTTTGCTATGATTCATTAAAGTTAAGTTGCCTAGTGAGAGTATACTGTACTTTAATGTAAGTTGTGTACAAATATAATTCACCTGTTTTTTTCATAACAAATTTAATTTTAAGCAATAAAACATGCCAGACCAGGTTATACTATGGTTGTGTAGTTGACATACTTAATTTGTCCGACTGTTTCATAGTCATGTCATAGGTGTGCACTGCACTTCCTTGAAGTTAGATTGTATAATAGGCTGGTGAAAAACAGGTTGAGAACTACTGATGTAAATGAACATTGTTTTTTGAAGTAAAACTTTATAATAATGATGGAAACTAACAAACCAACTTCCGTACTGACAAATCTTTACTAGTGCACTACAGTGTTAACATTACCTGGTATTAGTTCACAATGACGCATGGCATGTATCATAATTTTAGTACAACTAGAGCATAACAGCAACTTGATACAGTAACTTTTAGCTGTTCCTAGATAGCTTTACGCCTATAATTCTAATATTGACATTACCTCAGTCATTACTTGAGGTAAACTTTACCAGTAAAGGGTAAGGGTTACATTTTAAATATAAATAAATTTTAACACCAAACTGCTTGCTCAATGTTGCCTTACGAGCAAAAACACAAACACTTTTAACAGTTAGTTGTCTTCATATCTACTTTTTCGTTGTTCACGTTAAGTTACCCTTTGGGTAAGCCAATGTTACTAATAGCTAACTATTAAGTTTCTTATGATAGCTAGGTAGTATTAGTTAGTAACGTTAGGTGCTAAAAAATGTGTTAATAAACCTGTTAATAAAGTGACATAGATTGTGCAAGTATAACATCATGGGTAAAAAGTTTTAAAAGCATGTTTTTTTCAGTACCGCTAAAATGTTTGCTTAACATATCGACTCACTATGCAGGATGAAATGACAACCATGTTTGTGACGTCATTATGATCATTACATTTACATGGTCATGGATTTTGCTACACATGTAGCCGTGCCTCTACGATGAGAAGTTCAAAATGTTTGTGAGGTCATTATGGTCATTACATCTATGTTCTCATGGGTTTGGCTTGTTCTCTGGTCTGCAGCTAGGGCTGTCTGATTCTAAAAATTTTGCAGTCTACTCCAATTCCAATTCCAAAAGTTGGGAATTGATGGAGTCGATTCTAAGAGTCGATTCCAGACAGCTGTTTTCCCGATTCTCAATTGCAAAGACTTAAAATTATGGGAGGAAAAAGCTCTTGCAAAAAGAACAAGACAGAGTGGTATGAATGATAAGGGATCTTGAATTTTATTAACTTAATCTTTTGGTGGCAAGTATACCTTTTAAAATTATATACATAACAGTATACCTCAACATTTATGTGATGCACCTTTTGGAATCGACTCACAGCCCTATTTGCAGCTGGGCACCTTCTCGAAAAATTCAACAAAAATGGAGACCTGTCAGTGGCAATGGAGTGAAGACAAGGACCGTCTCCTTGTATCTTATTATGCCATTAAGCTGTCGTGTAAACCCAAAATGAGGAATTTGCCTCATTTAATGCTTAAAATGCCAATAGATGTCCAATTTTATGTGCTCAGCTTGTAATTTAGACATTGAACATTTTTAACCCTGTGGAATGGGCAGTGCTGCACGTGGGATAAAACAGAAATCTCACCAAACCGTTTACAAAAGACAAGTTTTTGTTCTAGAAACATAAAAGCACCCCTAGAAACCTTGAATGCTCTACTTTAAAAAAAAAATATATATATATATATATATAGGTAGAAACTATATTTTTAGAGCTTTGTGAGGGGAATATACAGAAAAACAGACTCAGAATCAGGAAGCAGTGCTGATTGCCTAGCCTTTTGCAAATAGCGCTATTCATATAGGATAATGATACGGTAATCCAGCAGTGATTTTAGGGTCAAGAAAATGTGAAAATGATCAGTTTGACTCTTATAAACAAGAGCACTAAGTTTTCCCTAAAGAAATATGATTAAAATTAGGGCTGCACGATTTATCAATTTCAAATCGAAATCGCGATTTGAAACAACGCGATTAGCAAGTCGCGAAAATCGCGAGTTAGGATATACATTATACAACACGTCGGACCCAGGGTTTAAAACTGCTGTGAGAATAGTTTTAGAAATTCATGCCGTGCTCCCTGTGTGACAGTCATTCTCACCAATCACAAGCGCCGTGCTTGTCGCGTGCCAGTTATGCTCACCAATCAGACATGGCCCAAGAAGGCCTATAGGCCCACAAACAGCAAACACATGAAACCCAAGGAAAATCTTACATTCACGGTGCGGAAAAATACTGATTCCGTTACTGAGCTATAAGTGAATTGCCTTCCTATTTCATGGTCTGCGATTGTTTCAGAAAGGTCCTACCATCAATAGAACCGGCGAGCTCCTTTTAAACACCAGCTGCAATATTCTTCAGCGTATCATAACTTTGGTTTTTGTTAATAGGCAATAGCATTAGTATACCGCTAACCCATCAAAACAACAATGAGACAGTCAGTAATTCTCACAGCAAGTCGGTGACCTCCAAAAATGCCGTAAAACCCACAATACAGTCATGTTTATGTCGTTACTGCCATAACGTTTTTGATGCAGCTAATTTTAAGTTCTTAATGGAATATAGATTTGCCGTAAGATTTCTTGCGTGAGAGTCTGAAAGAGTTTGCAACCATGAACACGTACATTTTTTGTTTCTCCTGAATTGATTTGAAAAAAAAAATGAACGTG